CCCCCCCCCCCCCCCCAAGAATTTCTAGCCCTAGGACTATGCTTGCTTCTTTATTTGTATCAGGGAGAAAAAAACAAACAACAAAAACTTCTTATTTTTGCTGAATCACCTAAATCCTGTAAACATGCTATTAAGGGCTAATAAGTATGCTCCTTTCATTAAAAATGACACTGTCATCAGTTAATCTATAATATGACACAGTTCCCTATAAGGCAGAGACATGACCCTTCATTTAAAATATCAGCAGTAGCTTTTAAACATACTCTTCTAGTTGGACAATTCATTTGCACAGTGGCATCCTAAGGAAAAAAAAGTGAAGAAGCACAGGTATGTCTGGGTTTTTTTCAATAAGCAATTTTACATCTGAATTTTTTTAAAAGCATAAAGATATCGAATGAAAAGCATATGGTGCTTAAATATAGAGGATATCACATAGTAAGCACATCTAAGTACAAGGAGTACTTTTCAAACAGTCAGCTTTCTTCCACATTGCTTCTCTAGACACTGAGGTTTAGTTGCTGAAGCCCTCACTATTCTCTTAAAAAGAATAAAATAAACTGTAACACTTCACCCTGTAATGTGAAATTAAGAGTCTTGTAGTTGTATAAGACTTAATGGACCTTCAGTGAGAGCCCAAAAACAGACTATTTGTCTGTTGTGTGGGGATATTTGTGTCCCAATCACTTTCATAATAGCATGACATTTCCCTTTGGTCTTTAGCCATCTGTTCTGGGTGACAGCTTAAAGCCGTTGGCAGCTAAGATTCTGTCTCATCCCTTTAAGGTACTATAAACCACATCAAAATAAAAATCATGCCATCAGGCAGAGAAAAATACCTTTTAATTTAATTTTTGCCTATCTTCATGGACTAATAATAAATTATACAACTTCCCACTTGATTCCCACTAGTTCTTGATCTTAGTATATTAGCCTGCTAGGCTTAAGACTTCTACAGTTCTCTGGTAGAGTTTTAGAACTTAGTCATCGTAGTTATCTTAGTCTTATTATCAGCTGCTCCTCACTGAGCCAGCAGCCCAAAGCAAACAATCAGAATGACACTATCAGAAAAGACACTGATCAAGGGGTATGGAAAGCTGGTGGGGAAGAGTAGATTGTGAAACTACTAAACAACAACAAAAAATATGATCTTATCAGCCCATCTCAGTCTTTCAGCGGGGTCTGTTAAGCAGGAAGTTCAAATTGTCACTTTTGTTTTTTTAAGAAAAAAAGATAGAGGAAGAAGGAGAGAGAACGCTGCTGGATAAGTTGCACAGAAACCCAGACTATCTTAGATGAAGGAATATTCTTACTGTGATCAGAGTAAGGTAGTTAACCCTGTTAGAATGAAGCCAGGCAGCACGCAGGGCAGGGTGGCATCTACTAACTGGTTCAGAGATGTACTTCTCTTTTCTAACTTATCTGAACCGTTAATCTTTAAGGTGTTACCTTGCCTTCCCTTCTGTCTTACCTTACACCACCCTAACTGTTTAGTTTCATCACAGTATGTGCTATATTTGCTGAAACAAATTATACATGGAATATGACTTCCTTGGTACAATAGTTCAACATCCCCCCTTAGTAGGCTAAACAAGTGCCAATTCACTTCTGGGGTCTCAACACTTTCCCTTCTACTAATTCACTTGATTAGTAATTTAAATTTATCTTAAAAATATCTGGGAAATAGTGATTGGATTGGAAAGGATATATATCCATTACCGAGTGACATATATTTCTGGAATAAGACAGAAAGTATATAGGTCACATCAAACAAGCACATGAATGTATCAATGCTCTTCTCTCAGAGTATGATCCCATTGCAGTTAATGAAAGGACTTCTATCTTATATTAGCAGATATTGGCCCAAGTCACAGTGAAGGGCATAGAGGAACATAAAATCTTCATTACTTAAAAATGATATTGAAGTGCTCAAGAAAGAACACATCTCAAGCCACTCCACTTAATTTAATTTGAGGCTTCTTTTTACAAATCTCTGAACAGCTATCAGTCTACTCTCAGTTCTGGCTCTCTTAACTGCAGTTGAAGATAGATATAATACAAAACAAAAGATCTGTTTTTTTTCTAAAACCTTGAAAAACGGTTGTAGGCGGGTAGAGTCATTTCAAGAGTAAAATGCTACTGAACACTTTGAGTGGTAAAGTTTAATTATGCCGATTCACATTTTCGATCTAGATTAAGAACCTCCCTTGCTAGTAGAAAGAGAACCTAGAAGTCCTGTAGTAGGCAAAACAAAGAGCGTTTCCACTCAAACTGAGAATGGAGACCAACATTTAGAAGTATATAATTTGATCATCTGTTTTCTAAATGTGTCCAGAACTGTGAGACTTTTAAAAACATTTTGCACAAGAATGGTCTTTGAAAGAATTTTTTATTCTAAATATTTTAAAAGGGGGTAAGAAAAGTCAAGTTTACTCTAAAAATTTAGTTTTTGAAACTAAGCTCTCACAGAACCTAAAAAAAATCTCCACAAAATATTTCCATGACTTTTTAAGATTCTACAGGAAGGTGTGTGTGTGTGTGAGTGTAATTTTTTTAAACAAATATTTCCTGTCAACCCAAACACTAGCTTTAAAACCAGAAAGTGAATGTGACTATAAAACACAAGGGGAAATTGTTAGCATATTTTAATTGTTTAAGCAAAGAAAGATGCAAAATGTAAGACAGCCAGCATAAAGAATGTAAAGAAATGCATTTCTTTAAATATACGATTTTAATGACAATTGGTAGAAAAAGAAATGTTTAAGGGGCACTTTCTCAATTAAGGATTTTTTTTTTAAATTAAGTGTGCATATTATATTTCCAAATCTCTTGTTCAAGTTTATCAAAACTGGGTGTCACCTATCTATGCTTGCATAATGGGATAAACTTGTCATGATAGCAGGAAGTTGCATCATCTTATGACGCAACGCAAGCAGAATGTGTTGAATCAGGACATTAGTTTAATACAGGTGTATTTTGGAGTAGTTAAAAACAAAAAACAAAAACAACCCTATGAAATATGCCAGATCTATCAAATACTAGTTTCTCCGGGACTCCTGTATCCTATACCTGTTATGCCAAACACAATCATGCTCAAAGATTAAAGACTATAAGACTTCACTTGGAAACATGACTTAGTAAGTGCAGCAGGTTTGGTGAATTACTGAAAATTTTCTTGTTCAATAGACAACTGAAAAATCAAGTGTCTAAAGGTGATGTTCTTCACTGGCATAGTTGACATCTTAATAGAAAATGATACCTATATATTAAAAAAAAAGGAGAATGGGAAATAAGATTACATTCCCTTCTGCCAGTAGAATATAGAATCCTCATCCTGAAAATAATTTGTAATTCCTGCATGTACTTTAGTGTTTGCAGAACTGAGCCTGAGATCCTGATTCAGCAAAGTACTGAATGAAGCCTATTTAAGTCCATACCTATGTAAATGTTTAAATACTCTTCTGAATGTGGATGCTTTCCTGAATAATAGCTAAACCGAGTTAAATCAAGAAAAGTTTGCTGTCACAGAGACAGGTGGGTGTGATAGGTGGATGAGTATATATACTTAGGAGCTAAACGGTGGTTTTGACATCCAAAGTCCTTAATTACAAGGAATACAGCTAGAGAAATTCTAGAATAAAGCAAGAGAAATCTTTCCCCAGTTAATTTTATCATGAGACACACTGATCCACAAACTGCCCACATCAACAAAATGACTTAGGTGCCTAAATCCAAGCATGATTCTTAAAAACCTTGCCTGTGCTCTTATGTGTCTAAAGCCCATAGCTGTCTAAATTTTTGCTAGTAAAATTGTCTAAGTTCTGGATCTTTATACACCTAGGACAAAATTTTTGCTAGTAATGTTGTCTGAGTTCTGGTTCTTCACACACCTAGGATGACTGCCACTTGGTGGGTGCATCTACATGTGTGCTTTACTGTGGAGTGGATTAATTAGCTCTGCAGTAAAGCATCACAGTCTACACGTGTGCCAGTATTATTTGTAATATAATATGGCTGTAAGATAGTACTGTCAGGGACAGTACTATTAGAGACAGTACTATCTTACGGCGGACTACTTAAATGCATGCGTACACTGTGATAGGGACTGGCTGGGGCACGAGGGTGCTAAAGTGTGGAGGTGCCTGCTGGCTAGTCCTGCACTATAACACCCTTGTGCCTGATGCTACTGCCCGAAGCCAGGGCTGATCCTCTAAGCTCCCTGCCAGTTGGAGGCTGCTCTGCCTTGGCTCTAACTGCTGCAGTCCCAGGCACACATCAAAACGCTGTGCCCGGGAGCAGGTGACTCCAGCACGAACTGTGCTGGAGTTTATTTTATCGTATTAATTGCTTGTGTAGATGCACCTAGCTAAGTTGCTGTGCCCTGTCTTAGGCCTGATGGGATCCCCAGTCTAGGTGTGTCTCTGCTTAATTCTCCAGGAGGACCTGAGCCAATAGAAGTGCTCTGAGTGCGCCTAACACGCATCAGCTCTATAGAAATAATCATGTTTGTGCCACTTCTTTCAAAAACACAGCTGTAGAAAGAGAGGTCAGTGGTTTCATCCTCCTTTCATAAAGGAGCACCTGACAAGCATTAAAAGCCCTGGGCTGGAAAGCTTCAGTGGTGCATCAGTGGCAGGGGACTTTGCTCTGCAGGGGCCAGGCACCTGGAAGCTGCACCCATGCTGCTGATGCTTTTCCACCCCCAATTCTCCAGCTGTGGTATTAGCACAGCTTCCAGGTGGTGGGAACTGAGCCAGGGCTGGGCAGCTAGAAGCTGTGTCTGCACTGCTGCTGCTTCTCCCCACTCCCCATGACAGACATAGTTGGAAGCTGCCCAGCCCCAGTGCAAAAACTCACAGGTGGGGAGTGGGGAATGGGGAGCAGCTCATGTGCAGCTTTTCACTGCCCAGCTCTGCTGCAACTCCTTGCTGCCCAGCTCTGGCATGGGTGCAAGCAAAGCTCTGTGGCTGCATGGACCAGACGCAGTGGTTCTGCAAGAAAACCCTGCTTTAATACAATAATTCAGTAGTTACAGCATCTACCTAGCATGAGGGAGACCTTGTTTCTATGCCCATTTCAGCCTGAAGTTGTCCAAACCCACATCTCCTATCTCCCAGAAGAGCACCCAGACCACTATGGCTAAGGCTACACTGGTTTAAGGTAGTGGAAAATCTCCACCACTCTTGTTGAGCCTGTGCCACATTACAGAAAATAATTAAAAATTCCTTGAGCCTGAGAGGCAGCCCAGCACTGTAACCTAGTGAAGAAGGAAAGCCCTGGCTTCCAATGCAAAGTCAACAGCTTGTTCAGGATTGTAACAATCCAGGATCAGGCCACCTGGATTTTATCTCAGCTTGGATACTGTCCCTAAAGCAAGAGTCACTGTATTTATTGAGCTTTCTCATGTAAGTTGAAGATATGGTGGGTGGTTATCTGCCAAGTTTAAAAATGTACAAGATGTGGTGACTGAGAAAAAGGAAGAGCAAAACTAAAAGGACCTACCAGCTGAATTAGTGCTGGTATACCAATCCATCTAATGAGAAGCATCATTTGCGATATCACATTCAGTTCTTCTGTAAATAGTTCACAAACTACATGCTGTATCTTTGTGGGTCCTATAGAATTTCTTCAAGAATTTGAGAAGAGATGTTGAAAATGTGAATGAGCTAAGGAAAAACTATAACAAATTTGGATGACCTGTACATGACCAGTGTCCAGATCTTCATACAGTAATGACAGTCCATTTGGAATCTAAATACACATGTACATTTTCAATGCAGACTTTTGAATATACCATGAAAGTGGGAACATCTAGGGTATTACTATGAATCATAGGTATTGATTTTTAAGAGACAAGTTGTTGAGGTATTTGTGTAGGATTTTATCTGATAATTCTCAGATTATAAACCAATAACTGTTTAAATTTTTAATAATCTGTTTATATTTAAATAGACACAGGGAATTTTTTAATTCCCTCTTTCTATTCTAAGCCACCTACTGTGACACAACAGATGATGAAGCTATATAATTATATAACATATTATTAGATCATACAGGCAGAAGAGACATTACTAGCATTCTTTGTTTATACTGTAATCCACTTACTGAGATTCATCATCGTCAGCTCTCCGGAGGAAGGATAGTGAAGTCTCTCTGCAAAGTCTCGACAATACCACACAAGTAGTTCTTGGTTGGCAGGGATGGGCTTGATGGTGTAGAAGTAGATGTTCATTCCATTTTGACAAGCAGCCAAGTTCTGTTCCTGAACAGAATGGCCTGGATTCACATAGCGCATCCAGTTGCTCTTGTCCTCATTAAATCCATCAATGAAGTGGTGAAGCTCACCACTGGAATAGATCTGGAAGAGAGAGGAAGCGCATATGAATATATACATTGAATGGAGTGTATATATGCACACGCACATACTTTAGATATACACTGTAAAGGACAACAGATACAGGTACCAATATTCACCTAGGAAAAGGTGGGTGACCTTTCCCTAAGGCATCCCTCTCATTAAGAAAAATAAAGCTTACTCTAGAGGATAGACACACTCGGTTACCTTTTTCATTTCTGTTTAGTCAATGTGTTGCTCAGTTAAAGCATACAACTGAAAGAGACAATTTGGAATTAAGAGCTCTCTCTACATTAGCAGTCTACCTTGGAGTTCCTTTTCTGCTGCTATGATCAACAAGTAGGTGATACTAATGACTGCAGGTTTGAATGCGTGCTTGTATTAATGCTTTGAGTCACCTGTGTATAAGACTGACTAAGCTACGTCAGTCTCTTTCTCAGCTTTTTCTATGGCCTCTGTGTTTGCAGTTTCCTACCACCCCCGCCCAGAGGCTTAAACTATGCAAACATCCTCCACCCCCCCAAGTCCTAAAGTAACACTTGCTCATACTTGGAATGTAGCCCTTTTGTAGAAAGGTTGGGTGGGGCAAAGATGAACTTCACCTGCCACAACTAAGTGAAGACCTGGAAAAGGGCCAGCATTTGACAGTCTATGAGAAGTCACTTTTCCTCTCAATGGACATGCCCATGCTTGTACACTTTTAAATGAAAACTTCTTGGCAACATGGAGGAGAAAAAAACCTAATGCAGAGAGTGAGGCTGTTATCTTAAAGCAGTAAGAATATGAACATTAATAATCTAATGAATTAGACAAATATATCCTTTAGAACTAAAATGCTTTATTCTTGGTAAGAATTAAATTCAGCATCTGCTATGTGAAGTTCATCCATTGAAGAATTCAGAGTTACACACTAAGTAATCAGGTAAAAGTAGAACCTGAGGTTGTGAGTGATTTGGATCTATAAAGAACAGCAGGCACATTTTATCTGAATGTGAAAACACTCTGGGGCCTATCCCGGTCTTTGTGCTCATACTACTTTCTTTTTTCTTTTGAATGGCAGCAGTTCAATTGAGAAGTTAAAAAAAAAGAAAAAAGGAAAAGGCAGACTGGCCCTTTAATGCAAGCAGTAAACACCAGAATCACTTTCTTTTAAGAGTAACTTCCTGTAAATTGAGAAGGGGGAAATACATGTGGCTTCATCAAAGAAGCTTGTGAGAGATTTTGCGGTGTGTTTGTTATGAGAAAATGGAACAGAGCCGGGTGAATTCTGCTATCAAGAGGAGTTTTCAAGTTTCTTTGTTTACTCCGAATTGCAAACTTCCAGGAACTTGGGGTTCCATTGCTCTGCACTTCTACTAGAGACGGAAGCTGCTTTCTAAAGCTGCACTGAATGTTTCCAGTCACCCTTCCATAGATAGTACAACTTACTGTACTTCTTTTTTTTTCTTTAAAAAAAACACACATCAAACCTATGAGGTCACACGCCCCCACACCCATGCAAAACTGAATTCTGCCATCTCACCAGTTTTCCATGTATTTATCAAGAAGATAAAATGTGCTGAGTCATCATACAGTTACAAGAAATGATGTCACTCTGGGGTTTGCACAGCTTTCGTATCCCTTCTCAAGTATGTCATTTGCATGGAACATTTCTGTTCACACACAGCAGATGTTTCTATTCCTGCCAGCAAAATCAGGATTCCTTTTGTAACATGTGGGAAGATATCTCCCACAATTTCCTTGAATGTGCAAGGCTGTTTCAGGCCCTTAGGAAGGAATTCATCTGAATTACAGCAATGTGTCTTGAATGAATCAAGAGATTATAACAGTAGGTTTAGTAATGCTTAGAAGGCTGCTATATCGTTTCTCCAAAAGGCTTTTACCTTCAGACTTACAGTCCTCTCACCAAAAAAAGGCATTTGCTTTCTTACAGAATTCTGCAAACTAGTTAAAACCCTCTCTCAAGATTTGCTGAATTATTCCCACCTGGTCTAGTTAGGTAAGCATGCCTCTCCCCTTTGTTAGGCCTAAAATCCTGGTCACAAAAGTGAAACACTTGAGCACCTTGTGAATAATGTCACCCATGTAACACTGCAGATGTTGCATTAGAGAAAATGTAAGGACACTGAAATGAAGCAACAATGCTTAAAAATAAGAAGAGACACCAGAAAGAGCTATTTAAAAGTCACTAGAAGTAAAACTATTCTTTAACCCACAGGGAGCAGTGTTCTTGATGGGTAAAGAATATGGCAAATGTAAGGGTATTAAAAAACACACCTGGGGCTGACTACGAAACGACTTGACTCAGCTCCCAGTGACAAAGCTCAGATTCAGTGTAAAAGTCGCTTTTCCCACCCACCCTTTTAGTGAACTGCTGTAATATGCCTTCTCTGTGACTGGAGGGCAACAAAGTCAGTTTTGTGGAGGCGGTTAGGGCACAGTCAATGATGTACTTAGAAGTGGTAACATGTTTGTGAAGGAGGTTGAGGGATTAAAGTTCATTCAGGTTTCTTGATAAAAAGGAGAAGAAAGGAACCATATTAGCCCTCCAAGTTAAGGCTAGCAGACTAGTAGAGGGTAACAATTTGGGAGGCAGGGCAGAAAGAATATCCTGATTCTTCAGGTTGCCTACCTTAGCAACACAGATCTTTCAGGCTCCAGAGAGAGGCTTATACTCTATACCCCCTTGCCCTGGTGTGTGATCACTCAGTAACATCATACTAACACTTCTACCCTCCATTCTCAAGGTGCTGCCCATGACATATAGTCACTTATCCTAGCATTTTCTCAGCTAGCTTTAGAAACGTGTGCGATTTAAACTACATGCACTGAAGAGATCAACACTGTTTCAACTGCTCAATGTAAAAAACACTTTCAGAAGATTTTAATAATTGCAGAGAAAAGATTACATAATACTTTCTACCCTGTCATTTATTTTCAAGTATGTATCAGCTAGGAAAAGAAAAAAAAAAAAATCAAGGATATGGGATGTGCCGAGTCTTTAAGGATCCCTGGTTTCCCTATGTGAAAATGCAAACTGACCTACTCTTACAGCAAGCAAAACTGCTATTTCTTTATATATCAAGCATTGATGTGTTTCAGAAGGCAAAGTCAAGAACAGTTGTGTATCTATCTCCCTTACTTTCCACCCACGCTGTCCCCATTTCCAAGAGTGCCAGACATTTACTCAGCTTAGTTTACCACGTTCACTCAGATTTCAGTTCGTCTACAGCAAAGAAATAGCCCCCTGCACTCGCACGGTTCTGAAACAGGAAGTGACCCAGCTTTTCAGCTGTACTCATTTAGTGATCTGTTTACTGCATCAACATGGAGCTGTGTGTGTTTTTTCCCTTGCTTACCCGCCAAAAGTATTTTCTGTTTGCATTCTTGGGAACCGTATCGGTGGTATAGATCTCTCCTACCAGGGGTCCAAAGCGTGTTCCTTTTGGGATGTACTCTTTGCTTATAACTCCAGTAACCTACAAGAAGAAGAGCATGGGATCAGCCCATCTTCAAGAGAAAAAAAAGCATCACTTCTCCTGTTCTTATGAGAGAAACCCCAAAGCACAACATAATGGCAGTGAGAAGTCAGCAAAATAGTTAAGAGCATATATAAAATCTCTGCCAAGTTACTTCATACTTTACTGAAAGATATGGAGGGAAGTAATTAAGAAAAGTAGGGGAGCATAATTAGGTATAACTGCCCTTTTGGAAGAGAGAGAGAGAGAGAGAGAGAGAGAGAGAGAGAGAGAGTGTGTGTGTGTGTGTGTGTGTGTGTGTTAGAAAGAGAAAGAAGAAGAAGAAACAAGCAAAGTGCTTGGAGATATGTTACTGGATTAACCAAATTTTTATAAGCCAGTATCACCAAAATTATTTCCCCTCTCCCCTTCCCCCCATTTAAAAAAAGAGGGTTAAATATGTCACAATTAAAAAAAACAGCAAGGTATCAGCATGTAGTCTATTGGTACTAGCATTGCCCTCCCATCGTTATATCTGTAACTTTTCCCCAAAGATCAGTGTCAGTCACAAGAACCAATAATATTCACTAACAATTAACTCTCTGTTGGTGTGTAGCTATGTCTGGTGGTTTCCTAAACATATTCAGTGCATTCTCCTCTTCTAGATCAAAGTGAAACTTTTACTTTACACTGGTACCCTTTCCAATGTCAACAAGGAAACCAACCAAAATCTACAATTCTTCTATTAACCTGCAACTTAAAGCTACAAACAATATGAACAACTTTTGGAGTAGGTACTCACAGATTACCTTCTTTAAAACTGAGACAGAAGTTCCAGTAATAAAGGTTAAGCTGGTTTGATCAAGCAGAAGGCATGAGTTTTTGTGAAAATGCTCTGGCATACCAAATGTAAGATACGTATACCGGTTGTTCAGCTTCCTCCTTGACAGTAATTATACTAAAAAAGTCACTGACCACAAATCAGGAAGCAATTCATCATTATTCAGAAGAACGTGCCTTTGAGTAACCCTTTACAACACACTGCTGAGTTATAGGTTTTGTCTCTTCCCTTTCCCCACCAGCCCTCTTATTTTTCTTGTGTTTAAACAATATGCTATAAAAAAGAGTAATTCTGTAAACCGAAAATCAAGACTTCATAAGACTGATATTACAGCTCAAGTATGGAGGGGAGTAAAAATACCAATACTAAACTGTCATGGTAAAACTGTATCACATCCCCCTCTTGGTCCTTATTAGATAATAATGCTCATTATGCCAAGCTAGAATCATGGAACAATACAATTATAGTAGAATTTAATGATTTGCTCTAATTACTGAGTGCCTGTGGAGATTCCTAACTTCTTGTTAATTACCAAGAAAACACCACAATTAACAAAACTAATTAAAAGTCATCACCATTTGTGAATAAGCATGTATTTGGGGTACTTTGCTGTATACTAGTTACTATTATCCAAAGAGAACTTTCATTGTAAATACTGATCAAGAACTGGAGCTAAACTTATGTGTGCGAGTGAGACAGAGGGAAGAGAGACTGGTTTGTGTATTAGCGAAATAAGAATTCAGGTTCTACTGCATACTGCCTAGACATAAACATGCCCAAGATGGTTCATTTGGTTTGTAACTGACAACATAGACAATTTCTTAGCAAAACTGTATTTAAAATGACAAAATCAAAATGAGAAGAAACTGATGTAGAGTTAAGAAGAGAATCCATTAACAGGAGGAGTGCCATACATATTTGCATATGTTTATGGTTTACATTAAAAAAAAAATAGCAAGTCAATACAACTAAATGCTCCATTGATTTGTGCATCTGGACTGGGGAAAAAGAGAAAAGGGACGTCCAGAAATTTTCCTACACCTACCACAAGTTGAAACATGTTCAGTGGCCTAGTTTTATTTTTGTCCTGCTTCTACATTTCTCATAGAGAGCTGAAAAAAGCAGATGTTCTTTTCATCTTCCCCATATATCTTCATTTACATCCATCTGCCCTTTCAATAAAAGTTCACAGCCAAAGCATAAAACATCCTAGCAGTTTAACTGTAAGGTATCTTTTAACTCATTCCCAGTTTTAAAATATTTTGGTCTCAATTAAGATTTTAAGAATGTTCAGAAATCACTACTGCTTGAACCAGTCAGCTTGAAACGTTTGCTGTACTGGCTTCTCAGTTCCAGCTGATGCTTTTTGATATTTATTGTATACAGTATTTGATTCTTCCCCAGTACCTGAAACATTTATATTATTATCTGATAGTTGCCTTCTGAAGACAGTTTAGTAAACTACATTTTAGTAGTTTCTGTGAGCATTTTTCAATCTCTGACTAAACTTGTTTATTCCCATTTTACTTGCTATGGTTTCTGATTAGAGTATCTATTACATATTGTGTGTCCCTAGAGACTCAGTAGTTATAAGTAGCATTAAACTGAGAATCATAAGTCAGCTGAGGTACACATTTGCATTACAAAGACGACTCAGAGTTCTAGATCTCAGGTCAAGCAGGAAGCTGCTCCCATACCATAAGCAAGGTCAAGGAGACTCTTGTCAGGGTATAGCTCAGTGGGATTTAGTAACTGTGCTTGATGGCTGTTGGTAATCAAGGTTACCTAGGACTGTTCACAAACAGCAAAAATACTGCAGAACTAATGCAAAAAGGAAGTTGGGCCTTAGCTGCTAAAAAGCACACTCAGAGCAAGCATTTCAAACTTCTGTCCACAAGGTGTCCTTCAGCGCACACTCCCACATGACGATGATACTGTATGTAGTCACCACATTTTGTGGATGAACATTAGTCTGATAATGGGCTCTTTCTTCACAAATGAATGGCTTCTAGAAACATTTAAGGAATTCCTTTTATCGTTGGCTCTCAAATTTGGAACTTTGTAATAAAGAATACATTTTCAAAATTAGTTCTTTCATGTATATATACACATTTTCTTTCTTTTAGCACCTGAGCCGCATTAGCTTTCTTAGTACTGCCGCAAACAGTCTGGCAGTTGATACTTATTTCCATTCTCAGAAAAACAATACTTCTACAATAATAGTAAAAAACACAAATCATTGCAACTGTGGTAGCATCTCCATGACATGCATAAGACATGGTACTACAGGGCTAAAAGAGTTCAAATACTTCTGGCATACTTGGTGTATGACAAAATGAACACTATCCATTCAAGCTAAAAGAACCACGTTTTTGGCATTTAGGGTGAGGTAACTGCTTCGCTGAAAGTAGCAAGCTGTGAAGTCTCCAACAGTCAGGTCCGATATTATAGGTAACAAAACCACGGCGCTATTTTGACTGGTACTGCGTATGTGTAAGTCAAAGAATTGACTTTCTACTCTGCTTGAGCTCAAGTATGTTCAAAAGTCTATTAAAATGCAGTGTTCACCTAACCCAGGAAGAAAACACCACTGGAACTGACCAGGGTCCTAATGAATTACTGCTGGGGCAAGGCTGCTGTATGCCTTCTATAAACACATCAGTGAGAAGTTGAAAAGCTTCAACACTTTCATGCTTCATCTACCCCCACAGAAGCCATTCTACTGGATGCTTTATGGGCAGCACTGACCCCCCTGCCATTTCAGCGTATCTGTCTCTGTCAGCAGGCTGGGTCACAGAGCACATCCTGACAAGTCATGGCTCCCAGACAAAAAACAGTATTCCTTAGGTTCTCATTTTGATATTAAAAAGGAATAAAGAAGTATAAATGCTTATCAGTGGCAGAGAGAACTGCACAATAATGAATATCCATTCTGAGGAAACGAAGCCCATGTAAATGAAGCTAACGAACTGTATTTTTCACCTTCTTTCTACACTCTATTTTAAGCACAACAGCATTTTCCAAAGATAAATCTGGAGTGGGTATCCTGTGTGTTGGGGCTGAGTTATTTTCTTTCAATTACTAGTCATATATTTGTCTCAGTTCCACAGAACTGATTCTTGTTTGTATGAAACAAAACTGAACATTTCTACCAAATCGACTAGAAGAAAACCGAGGCTGAATCAAGTTCTGCAGCCTGCCATTTACTTTTTAAAGGGATGTTCAGATTTATTTCTACTATACATAATTAAGGAGGAAACAAAATGGCTTCAGAGAATTATCTCTAAAAAAAAGGCGTGTGTGAAGTTAGCAAGCTATACTTTTTTAACAGTATTGGTCTAATGCTAGTCCCTGTCAGGAGAAGCCTTAGTATAGAAAAGACTGCATACAGAATCTAATACTACATGTAATGGGTTTTCAACACTTACACTTCTCTATGTGCTTTTGAAAGGACAGGATAAGTGGTGTGTTAGGATCCCAAATATCTAGGCAGTATCCTATACTAGGAAGTGCTTCTGAGATTTTAAGCAGATGGAAGAGAAAGGAAATTCCTTAAAAAGCTGCTTGAAAATATTGATGTAAAAAGATTATTCACATCTATTATTGTAAAGTACATTTTTTATCACTGTTTTTCATATAGCTTTCATTAAGTACCAAAATGAAGCAAAAGTGACCTGACATATTTAAAAAAAACATAGAATCCTTCAAGTAAATCTAACTGCTTTAACTGTTAAGAGCAGAAGCAATTCATTAAAAAAAATGCTGATGCATATTGTGAGTTCATAATGAAAAATGTGTCCTTCAGAAAAATCCCCCAGCCAAGTCCAAGAACAAACAAGAGCATGATGCGTCATGGAATCTCTTGCTGTTTCAATAAATCTTTGAAAGGAGTTACGGGATTAGCAAAGTTAAAAGATTCATGCTCAGAAAACAAAAACAAAACAAAACATGCGTACACCACAGTAGTATTCCTACTCCCATGAGACATTCAACACGAAACACACATCTAATCCTGATACCATTGGTATTTCACAAGCCATCTACTGTCGACTTTTTGGCAATACATTGACTCAAGAATTCCAATCTTTCCTCAAAATGAAGCCACAATTATTTTCCCCCAAATTAACACGGAATACAATTTAGATGCATGCATATGCATCGAACCACCCACCCACACAGAACCTAAATCTTATCTCGCCCCTTTTCAAATCAAGAACAGCTATTAGAGTTATGCTGGTTTTACACTGCAGTAAGATCAGAGTCAAGCTCCCTTTATCTTGCTTCCTCCCTCCCACTGCTTGGGTTTGATCCTGTGAACACTTAGGCACACAAGCCATGTTATTAAAATTGGCAGCAGGACAAAGCAAACACTTAAAATGAGACAGAAAAAAATAGATTCAGAGTCTAAAAGTGGCCAGGATGAAAGTAATAAGGAATGTGCTATGCAATTATTTTACTTTCTTGACAAGTCAATAGGTGAGTACATTCCTATAAATTTAATTCTATGGCTTTAATAGAAGGGGACTACAGTATCAGTAGATTAAAATGATAGAAATCAAAAAGTTCCTCCTTTTTCTTACTACATGTGCTGCTCAGCACAAATACAACAGAATGGGGAACAAAAGAAGGATGTTCTATATTGAGGCTCCCTCTAGCAAAGGATCTAGATTGGTTATATTTTAAGAAGGAATTGGAAACTATTCAGCAACTGTAAAAAAATACTTCAAAGCTCGTAACAATCCTAAGCCAATTTACAGAGCTGAGCACTAGTGTAAGAAAATTATCAACTCCTACACACTGGTGTTTCCTAATACACCGCAGGGAATTTATAAAAAGTTTCTCTGATTTCTTATTGTGGCCACGATATTACATGGAGGTAACAAAGCAAAGAACTGGAGGAGCCAACATGTTACTGGCTATCTGTCTAGTAGTTAAGTAAATTGTCTTGCTACACGTTCAGTGTCATCAACAAAGAGAGAGTGTTTAAAAAGTATGGATCATAACATTGCATAGTATTACACAATGTTTAACTCACAAAACAAACAAGTTATTTGCATTTTCAATCTTTTTTAACATTCCTCCATTCAGTGGGGGAAGGAAGGTAAGATTTCACATGGATGTTTGATCTTATCCTGATCCCAAACCACTGTATGTTCTATGGGGTACTGTAGGACCAAATGCAGCTATGCCACTTTATACACAAATACAGCTATGCCACTGGAACTCAGCTCAAATGTCTGTACATGGGACTGAAAGAATAGACGTAGCACCATGGCACTTGTTTTGGGAGGATACACGAGAGAGAGAAGAATGTGCTTAAATTCCTTTTCAGATCTGTGGTCAGTGCATTTAGGCAGAGCAGCAGCACAGGTAATAGCTGCCATACCACAAGTCACAATACAAGGAGAAATGAAGGGTTGTCCCTAGGATTACTACCCTGTTGAACATCACACCTAGCGATAATAGCTATTGTATGTGAAGAAGTAAACACAAAAGCAATTGCTCATCCAGGCTCTTTTTTCTCCCCAGCCCTTCTGAAACAACAAAGACACATACCCGCTCCAGAGGCAGGCATAAAATATACTTGAATGTCCAGCTACGAGTAAAAGATACTGACCCAGATAAACAACAACTAGAGTAAGTCATGGAGACAATTTGTTATGTGATTCTTGCCGGTTTTACTACTACTTTATTTAATAGATGAGCAAGTGTTTTGAGATTTTAGGAAGTTAAAGTAAAGCAAGCTCATGTGAAGGGTAAAGCAATTTCATAACCAAAACCCAGAAATAATTAAATTCAGATCCAGGAATTTCTCTCTTTCTTTTAAAAGCTATTTATTGTACAACTGAGAAACTTCAAATCTCTGGGCCAGAGGCAATGAGCAGACTAGGAAAAAGAAATCTAAAAACTGGAACAAAAGACTGCCCTATACTTTAAACATGCATATTTGGACACACGCTGACTTATGCAAAGATTATACTGTTTGCTATTTGGTATGGAGTATCAAGTGATAGATGATTAGTTTTCCATTTCTTAATGAATAAAAGGATCTTTCTTCAAAGCCGCGGAATAGAAGTGTAAGCTAGTTATTCTTCACAGCACTGTGAATTGGCTGGCTAGCCCTAGCCTTCCCCAGCAAACTGCTGCTTACCTCTTTACAGTTTGATGCATATTTGAAAGTCAAGTTCCTTGGCAAGGAAGCCTCTGCCTGAGTTATGTTGCCTCCGTCAGTGCTAGGATCCCATGGGTGATCATTTACGATGTACGTGCACTTCTCTTCAAAATCAGCCTCTGTCCACAAAGTCATGTCAGCATCCTCCATGTTCATTTTCATTGTCCAGTCTGTCCCTTTTACAAGCAGTTTGAAACTCACAGAGTCCGAGCTACACTGTGTGGCAGCCTGGAAAAGAAGAAAACAACCTTTAATCCCCATTGTCCTTCAGTTTTTGTGGTTTCCTTTGAGACAGTGTGACTAATACTGTAGTCTGTGACACTTTAAAAGCGTATGCAGGATAGCTGGTACTGTTGAGTAATAGCCAAAAAAGCAGTAGAAGTAAAGCTGCTTTGACTGAAGCAATGTCTTAAAATGCCAGCCTTAGTAATAGGGATCCAGTGGAATGGGGGAAAATCCCAGAGACTGACAACTGCATTACCTTTCTCCAGATCCTTTCCTTAATGCCTCACAAGAGGAAGGGGGAAAAAAAATATTCCATGTCCAAGAGACTGTGGGGTCATGGCCGCAGGACCACTTAGTGCTTGTGGAAAAGCTGCCTCAGAAAAGTGTCACAAACAACAAGAGGAAGAGGAAGGAGCTGCTGTCTGCGTCTGAATAAAGCTAAAAATGGAAAGCGCATGTTGGAGGAGCGGAACCCAGCCTTGCCTTTTCCAAATGGGGAAGCCTGAACTTTCCCACCAGCTTTCAACACACAAACAACTTTCAAAACAACCTGGCCCCCCTCCTGACGTCGTCTTATCCTTTGGCAAAGAAGGCTGAGAAAGTCTACATCCTGCCAGCATCAGTGGAGGAACAGCCTTTCATAAACCACGGGAACATACTCCCTTGGACCAAAAAAAAAAAAAAAATTCTTATATGACTTTGACTTGGCTATCTCAAAACTTTAAGCTTGAAGGAATAAATTAAATCCCCATAAGAAAATTCTGCTGAGTCCTTGCCTGTTCCAAGACAGAAATGCTTTCAAATGATCAAACAGGTATTAAAACATATTTTGTTCCTAGAGGATACACAAAACTAAAAGCTTCTTTTTAAGCTGATAGGGGTCAAACACAAATCCAATTAAAAACATTTTTCCCTGTAAAATATCCAACTACTATAGAATTTCACCCTGGAGTTCCTCTTCTCTCCACCCCAATAAAAAAAGAGAGAGAGAGAAATTTCTGGGGAAAAGGATCAAGAACTCTGTCACTGTCTGATTCTCAGTTAAAATAAAACATCAGTTGACCCCACCGAGACTTCCTTTCTGGACAAAGTAGATGCACATTAGAATTCCAGTGGATGTCCTAGAGAGGGTCGAATACTTGCAAGAACAAAGTCTACTGCATTTTTGTTGCCTCAAAATATTTTGACAGATGTACACTGCAGTCTCTCACTACATCTAAAGGGTTGAAGATGTAGTGAGAGACTTCTTCATGCTTTGGTCTAACATACAGCAAAATTATCAGCTAACATACTTACTGAATTTGAATGTCAAGAGAAGAGGGAGGAAAAAAAACTAATAGTGAAACTCAAGTAAACTGACAGTTACATCTAGAAGTGAAAGAGTTAATACTACAATATTAGGTTTTCCAAAACTAAACACAGAAGACTCTAGGAAGAAACACTGCTACGTATTCCAAGTGTTCAGATGAACACAGGATAAGGTCAATTTTAGATCCAGAAAAAAAGGAATCGTGCTCCTTACCAAGGTCGAGTCCACAAATAATTCCAAACAGCAGCCCAGCGTTTAATGTAAGTCTCACTCATATCTACAGAGTAAACATCTCTTCTTCCTTCCACTTGCTGTTTTAGAGTACGACTGACTCACACCTAGAGAGTTAAGTCTTCTGGCTTGCGCTTTGCTCGCTCACTGGCTCGTTCTCCGTCAGACAGGTGCTGCTGCACTTACTGCTTTTGCCTCTCAGAAACACTGGAGGGCTGAGTGTTACAAGAATACTTTCAGTCTGTTAGCTAAACAGCTTGTTCCTTTCCCCTCCCTGTTCATATTAGCCACTCATCTGATTTACTCACAGTCACGGCTGCAGGGGTGGGGCTATACCTGTAACACAGAAACTCTGATCCAACCAAGGGGAATTTTCTTTTTTTCCTTTCTGCCCAAATTTCCCTGTTGGTTCACAGGAACATCAGCATTCCCTAACAGCCTGCTTTAGTTCCACAAGACCACCACCTATGACCTTAGTCATACGTTATCCAGTTTCTACTACAAATCCATTCATCGGCCACTTTTTTAAACTGTGAGTCTTAAGGACACAGTTACATGATTTTGCTGTCTGTCTTAATTAAAAAATGGGATGCCATTAAACCAGGAATTAAAGAACCACATTCAGATTACAAAATATAAAAAGCAGCTACTTAGAAGCTTCTAACAAAAAGCTGAACAATTGCGGGATGTTGTCTGATACAATTCAAGGATCTCAGGATACAGAATAAATAAAGGGTATAGATTATCCTAGATCTCAGGATGTAGATGATTTCTTACAAAAGGAGAAGGCTACAAAGTTAATTCCTTGTTTAAACTGCTTCTTACTGATATTTATTAAATATCACTTATCTCATGTGGCAGCTTCCTCTGCCCTTCAGGTAAAAAAGTGGGAAGCTCATTAGATACATGTAATATGGCCCACATTTAAAAACTTCACATACCAAAGTTTGTACAGTCCACAAAATATGTTTCAGCACTAAACTCATGTTTGACAATATTTTGACTGCTCACTTAAGAGCGTACTGGTAATTGAAGGAGGACTGGAATAGTAATTAGTGAGCCCTGAGCTCGTCAATTTTTTTCCTCCAATCCAAGTCAGTGTGTTGGCTGAAGGAAGGACATCCTGTGATGATGGCATACAATGTCCTGTTTGTTTATTATTAAGAGCATTCCTGCTTCTCATTACAAAACAACCAGATGCCTTACTTCCTTCAGTGGTCCTGTATCTTCACTAAGGAATCTTCCAGTTCAAGAGAAACAATGATGCACAATTCCATTTATAGCCAGCAGCCCAATTACAAACCGTAGTTGGTTTACTGAAGAGCAAGTCTCCTGCTTTTCCTTCTTGCCTCATATCTTTAGACATATTTATAATTTCTTTCCTCTTGGTTACCATGTACCTGATTTCTTTTCCTAAATGCATGCTGATAAGTATAGGCCTATTTGGGTGTTTCATATTTATTTACAGAAAAACACAGTGGTTTATAAAACCAGATGTGTGTCTTTGAAGTGTCCACAATCTGCTCCCCCTACCTTTTATGCCCTTCTCCCCAGTGCTGACAATAAAGAAGGGTGAATGGGATTATTTGTCCCTGTAGGTTTTGCCATGCTGAGAATAGCATATCTTTTTAAAGACCTTTTGTATGTTCTAACCCAGAAGTCATCACACCACTGGACATAAGTAGGGCATCTCCTGCATTTGAGTGTCCTGACTTAACTGCTGCAAGTGTGTCATTCCACAGGAGAGGTGGCAACCGGGCTGGCACTGATGGGTATAAGCATAATTGGATATACAGGGTAAAAGCTAGGCACATACAAAAGGAGGTCTAGGGAGGTTATGAAGTGGGTAGAAGCATTTATTAAACAAGAGAAATCCAGCCTACTTGATTGGGTAATTAGCTGATGCTGAGTCACACCACATCGAGCAGAAAAACAACGTAGTCATACTGAACGCGATTCTTCTACTAAAAAATTGTCTCACTTTGAGGTGCAGATGTTTCAGAACTTTTCACTTCCCCGTTAGCAAAAAAAGAACCTGTGTGTTGTGACGAAGGGTTTTTAAACCTGAAAGCTTGCTAAAAAAATTTTTCCAACTATTTAAGTTGGTCTAATAAAAGATCAGTTTCACCCAAAAAATCTTGGAACACAGAATTCAAGTGCTGATCAATTAAATGTGAAGGAAAACTGGGGACAGATAAGTCTGCCTCTCAAGGAACTGAGGCCGTCTTTTTGGTATGGGAGAGGGAGGGGAAAAATTGGTTAAAATTAAATATTATTTAGACAATAGGAGGATGCCAGTGCTCCAACTCAGAACTGGTGGAACTTATGGCAAATGCAAACTTCAAATAGCTTTGGGCCACTCTACAAGGCAACCCTGAAAATTAGCTCCAGGTGTTCTAGCAGGGGTAAAAAAAGCCTGAGAGCAGAACTACAGTAGTTTAGGGGATGGATTTCACTTTCATGTAGGTCTTGTCCTAATGAAGTTTGATCTGGAATAAAACTAAATAAGGTTCCCAGGAAAACAGAGATGGATGCAGACACAAATTATAAAGGTTCTGTATTAAGGTAACAAGCATGAGGAAAATTTACCGTTGGAAAAAAGAGAGAGAGCGAGAGAGATTGACCTTCTGACCTTTCTTCCTATAGAGAAACATTAAAAAAAAAAGTCTTATTCGATTGGCGGTTTGCTGCTCGCATGCAGAAATCTTTCATAGCAATAGCTGCTATTGTCTGGAATTTGCAATCTCAAAATGTTGTTCATTTCAAAAAGAACTCTTTTAGTCATATTTTCATTTTTTCTTTCTTGCTCATAGAAAACCTCAATTACCTTATTAATCAGCATTTCTCAGGCTGATCTCTTCTGCAGCAGCTTTCAGCCTGGCAACAAATCATGAATGGCCCTAACAGCTCTGATCTTAGAAATCCCCATCCATTTCCTTTGATGCTATCACCACTTCAGCTCAACAACAAGCTGATGCTACTCAGCTTCAGCTGCTGTTGCGATATTTTCTCTGTGCCTTCGAGAATTGTAATTGTAAGGGAACAGAGAGGGAGGGGAGCTGGCTCCAATAGCTGAAACTTCTTTAGAAAGTTGTAGGGGAGATAAAATGCACAGAGAAGATAAAAGCAGTCTCATTTTCACATCCGCCCCTTCCTTACCCAAACAAGGTCAGTGGCAGACTGACCACATCAATAGTATTAACCAGACCCACCCTCATTTCCCACTTCCTCTATGTAGGCATCTTTATACTGGTTGACATTTGGGGACCAGTTGTGGTCACTACTCTGAGAGAGAAGGTACTGTGTTTTATACCCCTACACATCTCCTACATGTTGCCTTTGAAATAAGGCCCCCAAAAGAACTTTCTTCAAATTGAGGTTGCCATTCCTTTCAGACTTCCCCATTTTTGTCCACATTTTTGAAAACCTGGCCAGAAGCTAATTCAAAGAAAAGAAGGCCAGC